TGAATTGTATAGTTTATTATGACTGTTTTGCTCTCATTCAGAATTAACCTATTGCGCTGACACCATGCGCTGATGTCATCTAACACTATTTTGACGTTCTCCTGCAGTTCATCAATATTTTGGCCCGATATTGTAACTGTCGACAGACATGCGGGAGAAATTGGCGGTTAAACCCAAAAATGATCATGTGGTTATCACACGAGGGTGGTGAGACCCATGATAACCAATGGATCAGTGACATGGTGGACAAAGACTACACAGTTGCGGTAAGCCTATTAAGCCTGGCTTGCTTAAGCGCCACGGTGGACCTTCATACCGCTCCAACTGTAGCGTTGGACATCCTTCTCGACCTAAAACCATTACATACATTTATTCAGAGTAATGCTCCTTCCTTGGTTCACAGGCTAACTCAAAGCCAATCACCGATCAGTCAGCCGCACGAAAAGACTATCAAAAATTGTACACAGAGTTGAATTCAAATCCTATATTGCTAATGCACATGGAGACAACTGACCCAAAGTACAATTCAGATAAAAACTATCATACAATAGATCAGAAAGGAAGACGTGGGAGGTAGGACCTTCAATACATGACAAAAGCTACCTGTACACAGACGGCTCGAAAACTGAAGACGAAGCTGGATCTGGTATTTATGGGGCAAGGCCAAAAACTGAGATCTCTATAAGTCTAGGAGATATAGCAACAATATATCAGGCTGAAGTAACGTCCTTCAAGTTTGCGCAAAAGAGCTAATAAGGAATGGGATTGCAAATGAGTCGATCGTCATCTGCTCAGCCATAAAAGGGCAAGTTCATCGCAAATATCGTTTAAACTAGTAGGGTATTGCGTGAAAAATCTCAGAGCGGGGGGGAGGCATAACGAGAACACGCACTGAATAGTCCATAAGAAATTGGACTAAGAAAGAATCGCTAAAATGGTGGAACAGCCAAACCCCAGTGCATCATATACTGTCACATGCAGGGTCCTGTGTCAATGCTATGGAGTCTTATTAAAGGATCACGTCTGGACGCAACAGTGTATATGGGGTTCACAATAGATCCATTTGAGTCGCAGTGATGTTTAGGCTACCAAGCCACCCTCTTTCTTTTGTCATCTGTGCTTCACGCAATGGCAGATTTACCACTGGGTCAACAGGGGGACCTCGATTATGAGACACGCTCTACCCCGCCCCCTTAGACGTATCTCAACTCCGATCTTGAATGTCATGAAATTTTCGTTTTTTCATATTGTTTCACGGGGAAGAAAATGACAGCTTGCACTTTTACAAATATTAACTCGCTTATATTTCGAAAATCGTTAGCTTTCGAGAAGAGTTCATGAAAACCTTTGTTTAGGAAATACCCACAAAGCTTCGGATAGAAAAAAATGATTTTCCGGCAAAATTTGTGTAAGCAATTTTTTCCGCATTTTTGGCCTTCTCCGGGGGTAAAAGTCATATTTTTTGGCAAAAGTGTACCTTTATCTGCAACCCCCCCCCCCAAAAAAAAATTTTGAATAGCGGAGGGGTAGCAAATCTTCTCAGGAGGCGCTAAATCTTGAAAATCCCCAAAATTGTACATAAAATCATGCAAGTATACAAATTTTAAAGTCCAACTGAATTCCTAAATAAATTCGTGAAGCGATAATTATTGCTCTTAAACCGGTATAACAAGTTTTGTTCCCTTGCGATATTGGAAGACGCAAAATGAGAATTTCTGCCTCATTGCTTCAAGAAAGTCGTTTGTAGCGCGTGTGTATTTAGAGCCCTTTCAGACGAGGATACCGTATGTGAGATACGCGTATCCGAGATACAGATATTCCATACACCCAAATCGAACCTTTCAAACAGCACTAGTGAGGCATTCAGTATCCCGAACGCAAATTTCCGTATGGCTCAACTTTCGGCCGCCGGCGATAGAATGCGTATGCCGCATAGGCCAGTTAAATAGCCGAAACTGAGACAAAAGTGATAACATAGCCACAAAGTTATGTCCGTTGGCGTAATGGTGTTATAAAGGATTGCGAATATTGTTGTATCAATTTGGTTTTCCGGAAACCAGCCGTTTTTTGTAAAACAGCGAAAAACCCAAAAAACCTCTTTTTCGCTGAAACGGCTGTCGATATCTGGGATTTTTTTACACTTAAATTTTTCCAATTTTTAGGCCATCAAAAAAGGTCTCTGCAATTTTTTTGCTAAATTTCATAGTTTTCGCGCTACAGCTTGCTGATGGCTTGTGGGCGAGGGGTTTGAGGGGACAGGGGCGGCGTACCTGCATACCACCAACCTGCCGCCGCACCGCCCACGCGTTGACGACGCCGACGATCTCTTACTATATAGTGGGGGTTATTGACTAATAGTCAAGTTGAATTTCGAACCCTGAGCTCGCTTGACAGTTTGGCGTTCACCGACTTTTCCGAAAAAAACAATTTTCGAAGTTTATGCGTTTAGTATGTGGAGTAATTTCTCTTCAATTGCTTGTCGATTGACTGGATAAGTGATTTAAGTTATCCACGATGGATTTTTTAACGGAATTGGTTTTCATTTTCCAATGTTAGTATTGTATTTTTTAGTAATAAATAGTACAGTCCAAATTCAGTATATGTTGTCCAAAATTCAGCATGTTTTCGAATTCCATTAGCACTATGTTCTGGTATTAATAACAAAAATCAGACATATTAGACTGACTGGATCGAAAATTGCATTACACTTACTGGAAACCGATTCTCACCGAAATTGTTTCTGTTATTCAACAGGAATAAAATGCAGCAAAATAGTTACTGCGCCATTGGCAGTTATCCGTTAGCGCGCGGCAATTGCAGGACCGTGGGGAAGAAGGGAATCACACAGAGCAAACGCGTGGAAGACAAAAAATGGTTGGATTGGGAGAAAAAGGAAAAACTGGATCGCCATGAGAAGTGTAGACTTTCATACTCGGTCAGTGGAAAGTATACTCAGAATTTTGCGTTGAATGCATAAGATAACAATATTGTAGCTGCAAGCGATGAGGTTCCTGATTTCAATTACGCAGATAATTGCTTCATTTGTGAAGAAATGACTCTTCGGGAATTAGCGTTGTTGAAAGATTACAAAACATTTGCTTAATTCGGGTACAAGGCAGATATCACCGGACATGCATGTCTCATTTCAATGCGCATGGTTTAAAAAAAATATCGAAGATCTAAACTGGTCTAGAATCGATTCATTGTAAGAACCTGTGTGGCAAGTTCTTGAATAGGACAAAAATGTTATTCATTATTTGTCGAAGTTAGTGAATGATGACTCTATAGATAGTAGATCACATTAAAAACGTTGCGGTGAGGAAGTTGAGTGCAGTATAATGGGGGGAAAAGATATAGGTAGAAGAAATATTGGCATCGCATGTTAAAGACTTGGCCAACAGGCTAATGCCTTTAAACAGACAAGAATTTTTACGTCTCGCTTTCCAACTGGCCGAGAAATTAAAGTTACCTCACCAGTTCAATAAAGAGAAACAATCTGCAGGGAAAAATTACTATTATTCGTTTATGAAAAGACATAGTGACTTATCATTGCGAACCGCTGAATCAACGAGTTTAATGAGAGCAGTAGGATTTAACAGGCCTCAGGTTATGCGATTCTTTGATGGTCTTGAGACTTTGATGGAGAGATTTAAATTCACACCTTATAAAATATGGAACTGTGATAAGACTGGAGTTAGCATTGTTCAAAAACATGCTAAAGTGTTAGCTACTAAAAACCAAAGGCAAGTCGGAAAGCTTACGTCAGCAGAACGTGGAAAGAACGTTACAGTGCTTTTTGCAATGAGCGCTGGAGGTCAGTTCGTACCACCTTATTTCATATTTCCACGAAACAGAATGAATGAAAGACTAATGATTAATGCTCCAAATGAGAGTGTAGGTGAAGCTCAACCAAACGGCTGGATGAATGCCGAATTATTTTTGAAATGGATGCAACACTTTATGCAATATTCTAATCCAACAGCCCAGAATCCCGTACTCTTGATTCTAGATGGGCATGCTAGTCATAAAGACTTAGATGCCATTGAGTTTGCCAGAAAAAATAATATTCATATGTTAAGCACCCCACCTCACACGACCCACAAGTTACAGCCACTGGATCGTACGTTCATGAAGCCATTTAAATCTGCGTACAATGATGCATGTGACTTGTGGATGAGGGCAAACCCTGCTATTAGAATCAGTGAATACGAGATTGCAGGGTTTGTTGCTATTGCTTTTAATCGAGTTTCGCGAATGGATATCGCGGTTAATGGCTTCCACTGCACTGGCATACACCCCTTTGATAGAAATATCTTCAGTGATTTAGATTTCATTGGTTCCGACATGACGAATGTTACAGAAAGTCAATCAGCAACAGAATCATCGCTCTCACATTCTCAACTAACCGAACCGACACCTTCAACATCTGCTTGTTCAAATCTGTCAAATTCTATTTCTACACAGCGAGAACTTACATCCATTTCCTCTCGACAACTTGGATCTCAAACTCCAACTTCTAATTTATTAGCTGACATTACAACTTCTATACAATCCGAGACTCAAACTACTCCTACTCACGCCGAATCTGAAATTTTATCTATTCAACAAGTAGAAACTCAAACAGAAGTTATTGCTGATAAATCCAGAGAAAATTTTAAAGCTGCACTTACAGAACTGTCACCGGTTCCTGATGCTTCCAAAAGAAGAACTACTGTAAGACGTCGTAAAGCTGAAAGAAGTGAAATTATAACAAGTTCTCCATACAAAAGGATGCTGGAAGAGAAAAGGGCAGATAAAAGGAATGTCGAACAACTTAAAAAGAAAGTTAATGTTTCAGAAAAAGATGTTATTAAAAAGGGACAAAGAGATCAGTCAGGTTTTTTTAATGTGTCCGCAGAACCCATCAACTTTCACGAGGGCAGATCAGAGCTCCGAAAGATTAAAGGTATAATTTGCGGCATGGGCTTTTTGGCAGTTTGAATTCCAATAATGACTGCGCCCTTTTGTTCACCTAACATTAGGTTACACGTAACGTACCAATGCTCCGACCAAAGTCATCATGTTTTAATGTGTCAGCAGACCCTCACTAGAGGGGCAATACAGTCAGATTATTTTGGCATGGCTTTTTTAGGCATTGAAATTACGCGCCCTGACCTAACTAGTTCAGAGCAGTACAATGCCCTGTTTGAGTCTAATTTATGGTTTTAATGAAATGCTTGACTGATGAGCAAAGAATTTGACCTGTGCGTTTGGACTCCTCCATTTCTATTTTCATCACCAAATTTAGTAGCAATTCCCCCAAAGTCCCATGAAGTCCTCGTAAATATGTGTTTGATAACAATACCGCAATACGATTGACATTTGTGATTTATGACTAATGTCTGTAGTTTCGTCAAATATAATACTGTAATGCTGACTTTGCCTGACGCGACTTAAAACTATATCCAAGATTTCTTCGCCACAACATTCTATAATTTCATTTTTAATGCGGCTGCTTATGTACGTAGCATGCGCTTTTGAGTTCTCTAAGTTTTTTTTTCAATAAATTGTCGCCGCTCTCGACTCTAAACCGTATTAGTTCTCTAAAATCCCCTTCATTATTAAGGTCATTCTCGTCATTCGTGATGTCATTAGAAAAAAGTCGTCTTCTATCTCTATGCCCTCTAAATAGTATGTCTTGGCGTCCTAAAAAAATTATAGATTCTATTATAGGAGTCAATCTTTACCGATTTTCTAATACTTGCTTAATTAGCTCTAAACCTATTATATTTCTTATGTCATTATCTGGATTTTCGTAAATCTTTAAAAAGTTTGTAGCATCTGAAACTGCTTCTGTATGATATATTGAGTTCTCATGTGTCTCACAATCACCGGTTTTGCCATACAATTTCGAAAATCTCTTTAGTGGTACTGTAACAAGTTTTCCCAATTTGGTTGATTTATGTAGGTAACATTTCACTTCTTTATCATTTTTCAAGTGTGTAGAATAGAGATATTTTAAAGAGTTATTAGGGATAATTGCACACCTCAATAAGGTATATTTTTCATGGGAAGACAAGTTGCCGCTGAAATTTACATATGGCGCAACTTCAACAAAATTGGATCCTTTAGGTTTCACACCCAATTGTTCAACACTGGGTTTAGTATACGGTACAACATCAAGAAATTTTGAAGTGGAGGAGGCTCAGGTAGAATTGTAGGATTATGATCAGTTTTTTCCGGTAATTCTTGTGCCGGTGGATCAGACAGTTTGTTTTGTTTAGAAAGGAATCAACCGATGGTATTCTGTTTCCTTTTATTCATCCTGTCATCAGCACTAAAAGTTACACAAATATTGTCAAATAAACGGCATTATTGGTTTCCACGCATTCACGTATCTTATAACAAAGAACCTTTTCTGTTTGGAAAACAAGATTTCTTAAGTTCACGCAATTTCAAAAAACTAAATATGTAATTTGTCATCTCGGACGAACGAAATGCACTGAAGTGCTTATATACAGGGACTTCCGAGACAAAATAGACATACATGATAATGATAGCTGGAGTATGAACCAAACATCTCGTAATTGAAATTATATTAAATTTCCATTTTTCCGTCTCTCATTTTTTAGACACGATTCTTTTATTTATAGTATAAAAATTAAAAACAACCAAAAAATAGTTTTCTGGCTTATGCGTGGAAAATAAAAAATCAATAGAACATAGAAAATAGCGTGAATACGAACAAGATCAACAAAACTCCGCTTGTTCAATTCTCAGCCAAATTTTGTTGCGGACTCCGGACTGGTACGGAATTTAGACACTAGACTAGATCATAAAAGACTAGACTATACCTGTTAGAACAGGAAGAACCGCACACCATTGCTGTTGGTGGGAGAGTAGCCGCTAGTCGCATGCGCACTGAGCGGGTTGGCAGTGTTGCCGCTATCCTTTCTTAAAGTTGCAGATTTTTTTATAAGACGTTTACTTTATACCACCTTTTCAAAGACTGCTCGAGTCATCTAGCGGGAGGGGGGGTAATTACCTCCTTTACCCCCCCCCGTGGGAGCGCCAGTGTCTCTATTATTTCAACGTCTGTCTGTGGCTAAACGTGGAAGAAAAGAGTTGAGTAAATCTTCCTTCGACTACGAAATGTCTCCTGTTCCACTTAGGGCCTTCGCACACGCATCGTAAGCGTAATCGTTTCGTAAGCATATCGTTACGATGCAACGCTTACGAGACCTCCAGTGTCCCACACACGCATCGTCACGTACTCGTATCGCTTTGTAGGATCTCAGTTGAAATCATGGCGTCAACGGTACCATATGTTTCTGGTGTATCCATTGATGATCTTACATTTTCTTCAGACCAAGAGGATTTTTTTATTGTTTGATTATGGTAGAAGTAGAAGGCAACGTGCTCATTGGACCCATCCATACATCGCAAGTAATAAGAAGAAAAGATTGCTTGTTGCTGCACTTCAGCTTTCAGAAGATGATAATAAGACAGCCACGACTATCGTAATACGACTGAACATCTCATACGCTTCGCTCCAACACCGCTTCGTGTGCGGACTGGTTAGCACACATACGAGCTCGTTTTGCTCTCGTCCTACGCGCGTATTACGGTACGATTACGATACGACGTAGTGTGCGAAGGCTCTTAGTTTGTTCGACGGGAAAGGATCAATGCGAAAGACAAACAAGTGTTATATAAAATGTTCACTACTACCCTATCCTCGCGAGCATTATTTGAAGATTCTCAGTTTGATGTAGGCGGAGGATGGTTGCTGCAAAGCCTCGTTTGGCCTCATAGTAAGATATACCGTGCAATCTTTGATATGTACAAGAACTTTCTTGATAAGCCGGTTGGTCGGAGCGTCATTATTGTTTTCGACGGATATGAAGATGAACATATAGGTGTCAAATCATACGAGCGAGACTGTAGACAAGAAAGACATTGTAGCGTGGACGTTGGAATTGAACCAGACAATCTCCTCCCATTGAACCAAAGGAAATTTTTGTCCAACGTGAAAAACAAGGCTCAATCTCATCTTGGTCAAACTCTTGCAACATATGAGGAATTCAGTTTTACAGTGATCCATGCGAAAAAGGATGCGGATGTTGAGATTGTGAGAGCAGCTCTGAAGACTCTTAACGAACTGTTTCGTCACGCGAAATCACGAGTTATAGTCGTCGGCCCGGATGTTGATCTCTTAATATTACTTATTGGACTCACTCCAGCCTCAGAGAGCATGTACTATTACAAGATGGGCCAGAGGGCAAGGCGAACCAATTGTACGATACACGGGATCACAAACATTTCTACTTTTCGCTCATGCGTTTGCGGGCTGCAACACTACTAGCTGCTTTTTTGGGAAAGGGAAGATGAAGCTGTTGAAGTTGCTGATGCAGAACGACAGCATTAGAATCCTGGCGCTGAAGTTTTACAAGCCGGACTGCTTGGAAGACGAATTGCTGCAATGTGCAGAGACTATTACTCTCGCACTATACAAAGACAAAGAACAGTCTGCTTCTCTCGGGACTTTCAGATACAATTTGTTTTCTACAAACTTAGCAAAGGCAAAAAGAAAACGCCCCTCCCCAACATCTCCTGCCTTGCTTCAGCACTGTAAATCCAGGTGTGGCTGAAACACAGATTGGATCCCTGCTTGTGAGGATGGACAAGACAGGGTAATATTCTCATTCCGATCATGTCTGAAGCAGATCCCGCACAAAATGAACTGTTACAAGAGGTATGTGTAAAATGTATTCAATTTGAAGCACTAAATATAACTTGCTGTAACTAATTTTTTACCACACTTTTGATCTCATGTACTGTCTGATCGGAATTAAAATAATTTTTGAAAAATGTGAGATCCAGTTTAAAGTCAAAATAACAAATTTTTAGACTGATCTATGGAGTACTATAAAAGGCCTGTCATTGATCTCCCTTACAAGACAACTGATATTTAGATTATAATAATTCTTATAATAACCTTTTTTCAGGCTTCCTGTGGATGCCGAGGGCCCTGCAAATCGAAGCGATGCAACTGCCGAAAAGCCGGTCTAAAGTGCAGCTCTGCTTGCAAAGTATGCCGCGGAAAATCGCGCAACAACTCAAAGAGATGGACTGCTACAGATGCATGTGAGGAGGACGGTGGGCAAACTACCGTAGAACCCGATAATGATGACTTAACAGAAGATGATGAGACCTCATCAAGCGGCCAAGATGCAACGACCGACGACGACGAAATTAACGAAGATGACGTCGGCTACGACTTTAATGACTTTGATCTTCAATGATTTATCCTACTTGTAATAGATTGGGGTGGATATAACATTGAGCTGTATATACTTTCAATTTCACTTACATGCTATTGTAGGTTTCATTGGCTCAAGTGAGGGTTTTTGTACACCTTATGTATGAAATGTAAAGTAACAAATTGCTGCATCTGGAACTCTACTTAAACGCATAAATTTCAAAAATTCATTAATATGCATAAGTCGGTGAACGCCACAACTACAAACGAGCTTATTATTCGAAATCGACTGGCCTATCACCGAGAGTGAGACACTGAGGACGCCGAAATAAAAGAGAATCGTCCCCTTCAACGGTGCGGCAGCTGATGATATGTGTACGCGCGTCCCTGTCCCCGCAAACCCCTCGCCCCCAAGCCATCAGCAAGCTGTAGCGCGAAAACTAAGCAATTTAGCAAAAAAATTGCAGATACCTTTTTTGATTACCCAAAAATTAGAAAAATATCAGTGTAAAAAAATCCCAGATATCCTCAGCCGTTTCAGCGAAAAAGAGGTTTTTTGGGTTATTCGCTGTTTTACAAAAAACGGCTGGTTTCCGGAAAACCAAATTCATACAACAATATTCGCAATCCTTTATAACACCATTACGCCAACGGACATAACTTTGTGGCTGTGTTATCACTTTTGTCTCAGTTTCGGCTATTTAACTGGACTAGCATACAGAATTATCATTATATTATACGGAGCTGTTCAGACACGCATACTTTTTCATCAGTGAATACGGTAGAACATAGTCGTTGGGTTTTTCTTATGTTAGTAGTAAATGAGGTTAAGAATTTAATTGGACGTTAATGTAATACGTATATGTATATAGAAATGGAACGTGCAGTCTTTGATAATGAAAAGTTTATAAGTTTGGTGGAACCAAATCCCTGTTTATGGGATACAGCGCACCCAGATTATTGCGATAGAAATAAGAAACAGCAACGCTGGGTGGAAATTGCCAAACAAATGTGCGACAATTTTGAGGAGATGACAGCAGCATAACAGAATGAATATGGTAAGACATTAAACATAATTTTATTTTAAATACATATTAGACTATTATAAGTAAGTAGTGCAGGCTAAAAAGTTTACATATGGGATTATTTTATTATTTTCATTAAAATTTATTGTCCCAAAAATACTTAGTTCCTATAGATAGATTTTACTATATTTTAGTTAAAACTAAAACACAATCTAATTTAGACATAAGAAACGAATATTTCAGAAATATTAGGAATAAAAATAAATTTCAAAATTTCAACAGCACTAGTTCACATGATACAACTATTCTGCCATGGTAATATATCAGTATTCATGAAATAGTCAGCAAAATAGTCACGAATAGCAGTCGCTGATCTTGCAGAACACGCTCCTGTTTTTGCAACATTAGCATCATAAAATCCTTGGACGGATAAGGCATCTTCATGTTTATATCCATCTAGTACACGAACAAAATTATGCAGTACAGTACAAGCTTTAACTATGTCAACAGCAAAATCTATTGACACGTTGAGTGGTCTGTGAAATATTCTCCACTTGTTAGAAAGTATTCCAAAAGTACACTCAATATACCTTCGTGCTCGAGTTAACCGGTAATTATGTATTCTCTTTTTTAATGTCAGATTTTTTCCACCATATGGCCTCATAACATTGAAGGATAAACCAAATGCTTCGACTCCAACAATAACATATGGGATTTTGTAATCATTCTTTTGTGGCAAAAAATCTGGATTGGGAAGATCTTTTTTGAGCTTAAGTTCTTATAAAAATGTGAATTCGTAAAAATGCTTGAATCACTGTTTTTCCCATAATCTCCAATATCTACAAATGTGAAGCAATAATTCGCCAGTAGTTGTATTGAAAAAAAATGTTTATAGTTAAAATAAAGAGAACCACTATGTTGTGGTTTTATAACCCGGATATGTTTTCCGTCTATGGCACCCAAACAGTGTGGATAATTTGCATTTTTCAAAAAACCGTCTGCGATTTCTAACCATTTTTCTCGTGTGGGCTTTGGTATACATTGTTCTTTCATAAATATCCAAATTAGCTTGCATGTTTCCTGAATTATTTCGCTCGCTGTTGAAATTCCAACTCTGTAGTTATAATGTAGCTCAGTAAGGGAGCAACCAGTCGCCAGGTACCTGAAAATAATTAAAAAAAACTTGTTGAATTTTTCAGGGAAAGATCTTCAAAAAAAATGGAAGAATTTAAGAAATTCTTTTGCTCGAGAGTTGGCGAAAAGAAAAAAGAAAAAAGTGGTGACGGAGCTTCTTGGAAAACTTACGTAGTCATGCCATAAGTTCTGTCCCTCATTTTCAAACAAGTGTAGACCTGTTAATACTTGTCCGATTGTTTACATTGTGGTGTCAGTTGATTAAGCGCTTTTCGGGTAATTACATATACCTCAGTTTGTATTGATCTCTCGAAGCATAACGATGGAGTGGGGCAAGGCAGAGAACCGTATTGCAGTGATAGCTTTACATAAGTGTAATCACAGTGCTAGTCAGATTTTTGAACTCTTACGCGGCCTTCAAATATCGCGTAAATTTGTGTCTAGGACCATTCAGCGGTACAATGAGACGTCCTCTGTTGATGACAGGCCAAGAAGCGGAAGACCTCGTCAAGTAAGGACTCCAGCAGCCATCAAAGCCGTAAAAGCCAGGATTCAAAGGAATCCACTCCGGAAGCAGAAGATCCTATCCAGGGAAATGAAGATTCCTGTCCGGACGATGTCGCGCATCATTAAACAAGACCTAGGGCTAGGGGCTTACCGGAGACGTACGGGCCAGCGACTTACGGCCACCTTGCGACACATCAGGGCGACAAGATCCAAGAAGCTCTTGGAGAGGTACGCAGCTGGGGGATTCCGAAAGATTTTGTTCACGGATGAGAAAATCTTCACCATAGAAGAAAAATTCAACCGACAAAATGACAAAGTGTATGCAAGGAGTTCACAGGAAGCTTCGGAGATCATTCCGAGAGTTGAGAGAGGCCACCACCCTGCGTCAGTCATGGTTTGGTGGGGGGTGTCCTACGAAGGGGTCACTCAGCTCCATTTCTGTAAACAGGGCGTGAAAACAAAAGCGGCAAACTATCAGAGCGACATACTGGATCCTATCGTCAAGCCTTTAAGTGGTACATTGTTTGCCAACCAACACTGGGTCTACCAGCAGGATTCCGCCCCCGCTCACAAGGCTAAGAGTACGCAGCGCTGGCTGGAAAGCAATGTGCCAGAGTTCATTGCTGCGGAAGATTGGCCCTCAGGGAGTCCGGACCTCAATCCTTTAGACTACAAGTTGTGGGACCTGCTAGAGCAGTTGACCTGCTCCAAAGCCCACCGTAATATCGAGTCCCTGAAAGCGGATTTGATCCGATCAGCGGCAGCTATTCCTTTGGAAGCTGTGCGTGCAGTGATAGATGAGTGGCCCGCGAGATTGAAGCAGTGTGTGAAGGCCAAGGGGGGACATTTTGAATAAAACTGTTTGATTATGAATTCTAAAAATGTTGTCGAATAAATAATATCTTTCATATAAATATATCTTATCTTGTTTCATTTTTATCATGAGATTATCATGGGATAGAACTTATGGCACGACTACGTATATATTTTTTGAACAGCTATCTTTTTTGATGCGATGCTCTTCAAATAGAGAGTAAGAAAATTTAACTTGTCAAAATATGAACTACTAAATTAATAGATTTGTTTTAGGACCACTTCAAATTTTACAGAGGAAAATCATACAATCGAAGAAGCTTCGGATCATGAACAAAATGAGTATGTTACTCCTTTAAGGCCTATACATGTACAGAAAAAAAGGAAAGTGGCATCGGAAACCGACCATAACACTGAGATAGTGGGCCTATTAAAGGCAAATCTTGCACAGCGACAAACAAACGATATTATGCTAGACAATGACGGAGACCGACATTTCCTTCTTTCGCTACTGCCGGACTTTAGAAGAGTGCCAATTGACAAAAAGATGGATGTGAAATTGGCAATGATACAATCGATAAAATCTGCCCTATTACCCACTCAATCTGCATTTAATTACAACCATGTACAACATTTGCCGTTTTATCCATCCGCTCCTAATCCCCCTTCTACACAACATCTTCCTATTCATAAGTCATCATCTTCACAAGTGCACGTTTATGGTCATCCTTCTTCCACTCATTCTCATTTATCTCCCCATTCGTCATCCAACACTTCATTCATTGAGTTACAATGTTCATCCAATGAAAGAACAGACACTGTTCCCATCCTCTCACCCCATTCCGTTGAATCAACTGCCACCTCAACAGACGGATCCATCATCGATCTTCTTGTTGATTACCAAGGCTAAGACCAAAATTGTGGAGCTGATAATTAATTATTATTTTTCTTGTACTACTTTAAATACAAATAGATTTAGAAAAAAAACATCTATAAGTATTTTTTCCTTACCTTAATGTCATAGATAGTCGTTCTTTTGACGAAATACTTCTACGCATAGTTGTGTCCTTTTTAATTAGTTTGTTTTCCAAAATATTATGAAGTTTCTCAAAGGACTGAATAGACATTCGATAATAATTGAAAAACTTCGATGGATCTTGCAACAAATCTTCATGTAATAAATTATACGTTCCTTTGCTTTCTCTTAATCCCAACATGGGATGAACCCACAAACTACGTCTCCTTTTTAGTTTCTTCTTCTTATTATTTAATAAATACCACACCGCGATACACTCTTCTATTTCCATAATTACAACTGCACTACACTGCGTCTGTTTTGCGTATAACAAGGCGGTATGCGATACAGAAGTAAAAAAGTATCCGGTCGTAATTCTGTATCTCGGATACTGTATCTCGCATACGGTATCCTCGTCTGAAAGGGCTCTTATAGGTACGTATTTGGACAAAAATAATTTCTATTTGACATGCATAGTGTAGTTTTAGCTTTGTCTTAACAGCGCGATTACATTGGGCATATTAAAATTTTATAAAATCAAAATAGCGAATTTTATATGCAAATTTCATCTTTGAAATTTCTATTTCACAGGCTTGACAGATCTTGACAATAGAGGTGTCCCTAGATTGATCTTGATACCTAGCAAAAATAAAATTGCATTATTTTCAGTTACTGTTTTTGTTTTTTTTTATGCATTTATTTATGTATATTGTTACACCAGATGGCCTTGTATGGAACGGGGAGAAATAAAATAAGCATCAATTATTTTTTGTTCTTCATTGTAAAAATGAAGAATATATAATGATCCTAATATAAAGATGCAAGTCAAAAAAAAAATATGAGAATCAAAATGACATTATACAATGTTGGCAGAACATCATTGAATTAAAAAATATATGGTACCTATTAGTTTGGGGAATTACGAATGTGAGCGATACTGTATACCTTAAACAATGCTTTTTGGTATACATGAAAAACATACTGTTGGGCAAATTTTGTTTCTGTATATTTTCCTAAAAATAAGCTAGCTACATACTCAGCTTAGCTTAAAAAAGTAATTTCTATAAAACTGCAATTCCTGAACACTCTCTTTGATATCCTGTAGAGCTCTATGACTAAAATCTTTCTTTGGAATATTCTTATACACCTCTGAATTCCATCTCCTACACAGTTCTTTTATAGTCGATACATCTATTATTCTATAATGAAGATAGTCATCCACTTTTGGCATGTATTTTCTTAGAAAACCCCGATCCACATAAACACTATTTCCTGCTAAGGGAGAAGTGTTTTCAGGCAAATGTGCTTTTGCAAAGTCTAGTACATTTTGCTCAGCTTCGATGAGTGAGATCTTTGAGTCTAAACATTTTTGTATTAATCCACTCTGAAATGAAAATATGAAGTAGGTTAATGCTCGGTTCGTATAGCGGTCACCAACCTGTCAGCGACTGTGTCTAAGAACCCACCTCATGAATTCCATTTAATCTACTATGCTATATCGTCGGCTAGATACGTTAAACTGCTAACTCCCTTTTGCGAGGTTTACAGGAGGAACAAAAAACGATTTTACAACAATGGTGTGCATTTAAACAAGCCGCTATTAAAGAAGAATATTTTTGATGATATTTTCAATGTGTCAACAAGAAATGAATGTGGAAAAAATTACTGTATTAGATTTTATGGGCAAAAACTGGAGTTGGCAGTTGTTCATTTGCATAGAAAAGAAGGAATTTTGGAGTTAGCAACTTTTATTTTTAGTAGAATATTTAATTTAGTGTATTAAAAATGATCAAAACATCCAAACTAAACATCTAAAAATTCACAGGTGTGGCAAATTATTATAAAAATGGTGATAGTCCGCTGGAATAGTACAGTTAATTTCTTGAAGGTCGGAATATTTTCGCGCAGATATTGGAATTTTATCTTTATACAGATGGTCCAACACTGCCAGGTAATAATGTCAACTTGAGATTTTCTTTGCGAAAGTAATTCTCATTCATCAGACAACCGAAGTTTATAATAGATGTCCCCTACTGGTGTATATTTTAGGCCCTGAATATCAGTTACCCACAAATAAAATTAAACAATTAAATATACCAAGTACTCTTATAATTTATATGTTTTTATTACTTTTCGTTCTCCTAGCTTATTCCCTGGTCAAATACTTCTAACAGCTCCTAACTTTTTTGATTAATTGGGAGAAAGAGTGATCTAACTACATAACCTCGTAGGTCTTAGGATTTTTTCTGGCTTTTTTGCAGTGGTATGCATAATCTGCAGGGACTTTTAGTCTTACTCGATTTACACAACGTTCTATGGTGGCATGCTGGAATCCACTTGCATTTGAGTATGGCCAACCTCTAAATATTTATTCTCAAGTGTAATATCAAGTTTTCTGCATAAATTTAAAGCTGCGTTAGCCAAAGTCACGTTTCTGTTCTGGTACGCACAACCATCACATTAATATCTTTCAGTCATCTTTGTCCATTGTAGGAATGACTTTTGTTTCCAAAAATGGGTAGAAACATGAGGAAAATTCTTCTGCGGTTAGTCTACCCTTCCCCTCATGCCATAAGAAACAATTTGTTGACCATAATTATTATAAAAGCAAAGGCTGTGAACGCATAATTTTGTTTTGTTATATGAGCGGCTAACATTAGATTTAGGAGACAGTAAAACAGCTTGAAGATCAACAGTAAATACGCATTTCTCGTTTTCCACATCCTTTTGTTTTTCTGCTCTGGTCTCATTTTTGTTTAATATATGAGCATTATACAGGTTGTCCTCAAAGTTAGGGTGTTCCTTTATACGACGTGTAGAACTTGAGAAAATAAGCGGATTTTCGTATATATCAATGTCTTAAGAGAACCGAGATATTGGGCTCTGAAAACTCAATCAAACCTGAACCAAACCGAAGACGGTCCTGACCCTCGATCACGTCCACAGCGCCAGCGTACAGTTATACGACGTTCGACTACGATGTAAATACGCTAGTATGCAGCCTAACCTAGACGCCGGTAGTGTAGGTCAACAAACCATTACATTGGTAACCGATAGCGAACTCAAGAAGTCAATTTGATTAAAAAAAAACAATAATAAATACTGATATCTCCCAAATACGCCCAAACGTAATTTAAGAGAAAAGCTGCCACTCCAACATAATGGTAATTTTGTTTACTACAAACCAAAATGAACATATTTTTACAAAATCAAACTTACCTTTCATCAAAAAGTATTACCGGAACACTAAACTAATGTCAAACTGTGATATTTCAGAAAGAAGCCATGTTTATTCTACAACTGAAGAGCGTTTGAAGAGCACACGTGCACCTGTCACTTTGTTTTGGCTGGAGATAGCAGTATTTCGATGAATAAAGTGTGGGGATCAGTTAGCACCTTTATTCATCATGGCTTTTCAATCAGTTTTCATACGAACATGACAAACATTTAGTTTTGGTATGATAGAAAATGAGTCATAGTAGTCAAATAGATAATATCTATAAAGTGATGAAAATGGAGTTAACAGTTTAACGTATTTAGTGGATGATATATTGAATTCACACAACGGATCCCAGACACAGTCACCAACCACTGTATGAACAAACCTTGAAATGTTAAAAAACAGACTCAAGAACTGGAACGCTTTTTGCAGAAAGGAACCAACTCACTAAATATGAAAAATCTAGATTTTAGGAAAATAAGCTATTACGAGCAATACCATTTACTGTAAAAAAGATCCATACACATATTTAAAGCCTTGTATGCCATTAATCAAACTTGTTTGGTCTAAAATGAATTTATCATTGTCAAAACTTTAAAGCCTAATTGCTCAATAATTGTTTTTCTGGGTTGGTCAACTACAAACTAAACTAGATGTTTCATGATATTGATGTCTTACACTACTATGTTGCTTTGTACACCATTCCCCCATTTGATTTATGGTATTTTGAGTATGGTTTATAACTATTTCAGGTCCCTCTGCAACTATGTTTAAATCGGAATCTGTTACTAGGCAAGCTATCTCCATAATCTGGTCATTTTCAATATCTAAGCCAGTCATCTGAAAGTGAGAAAGTATTAGTGCTGTAAACTTTTTTACTGAAGACTGCACATATAGAGACGGTAAATCAAAAGGTTTGATATAATATGTAAGAATATACAATTTGGCAGTCCTCATCAAATCATACATACTTCCATATCGACCCAAAAAATCCTGTTGACTCCGACATCTACTCCATTAGCCACTTTACAGTTCCTACTATTTGTAGAACAACTGTGTGTGTGTACCTCAGGGCCCATGACTGTAAATTTAACAAGTTCATTAAAAGATTTCTCTCAGAAATCCAATAACGCACTTTTCTTTAAAATATTTCTAGACATATGTCGAAAACCTCGATTAACTGCCTGCAACATGTTTGCTTACATAAATAGAAAAAGCAAGAAATATTTAGTCATTCACTGACTCAATAAATCAAAATATTGCAAGAATTACATGTACAACAATTTAAATAGAAAAACGGTAACAAAAAAGGCGCAAAACGCCAAAAATGCAGGACCTTATTTTTTTAGGTTAACAGTGGAGAGTCAGGTGGAGAGTGGACAGAAGACAGACAGAGACATCCATATTCCATACTCCACAAAGCACAGAACGATAGTTTTAATTACAGTTTTCTACGGTATCTTATGGGATGGCATGTACAAGTTATACCTAATAGATAGCAGCACCACATACTATTTTTATGCTATTTTTGTTTTGGTGACATCTCTTAGCAATATTGGCAATAAGAAACCTAATATGTGGATAAAATTATGCAGAATTCTTATATAATGACGAACTAAGTCAAATAACAAACAATAGATGGCACTGGCAATACACTAGTGGCGCCATCTGCTTATATGGCAAGCTGATAAGTAGCCTTTACAGATTTCTGTAATGAAAAATTTCACGACAGCTATTGAGGATTACTCTGAACTGAACATTTTTTTGGAGGTTTCTAGAACAGGGAGTGAAGTTGATTTTTCGTTTGACATATCCTTGACATTTTGTTTGTTTTTAAAATTCAGAAAAAACTTATACACAAATATGTGATTAATCATGAGTTCCAATTAGTTCAGTGATAATGCTGAACAATCTATATGGTATTCAGTTCTCTATTGTTAATGTCATTGTAAGCTGGTTACAAATCTATTAAATTATAGATGCCAGTTTGTAAAAATCAGCGATTCTATCATCATAACTGAAAATGGAACCAAGAGAAACTTCTGAACTCCAACAACTCGTATCAAGTGATGCAGAAAACGAAGATAGCCTTGTTCAAGATGATAGTGAAGTGAAAGTTATATCCCCGATTAAAAGCAGTAAAGTGGTAATTGAACAAGTTCATTAATGTACCCCTACCAGTTTATACATTGCTAATGATATATTTAATGGTAATACTTGATACTCGTTTTCACCATTTAAAAAATTGAACATTGAAGAGTCTAAAACAAATATAGTGAATTCTAAAGTTATCCACAGCCATACAGGTATTGTTGTATTCAATAATTCTAAATAATTCTAAACATAATAGATACCAATATCAACATTTGAATGTTGAATTATCAGTATGTTGTGCTTCTTATCCATACAGTCCTTAAGACTTGGATGTAAAATGTAGCTTTTACCAGAGAGTAGCCAAGTTTATCCAACAAGAATTACAGAAATGTCACTGAAACTAGACATTTACCCAAAAATTGTCCTTGCTACAAAATAGAGTGTATCAGGGACTATATTCAGTATTTATCTGTTTGGGAGTTTGGGTCTAAATATACTGGTTTAACTAATCTCTTCTCTAAAGATAAATGGTGATCATGTAGCTCCCCAGCTGTTTGAGATGTTACAAGCTGTTCATGTCCTAAAATTATATATATATTTTTTTCTTTCATCTGTTTATCATGTTTTAGTATCAGATTTATAGACATACTTTCAGGATAGAGTGCTATTTGAGGAATGAATTATCTTGGATTCTAAACAAACAATAACTCTTTTGAAATATTACCGCACAAAGTGCCATCTATTACCAGACTTGTGCAAATGACAATTTTCCAAATTTTGAAAAGCTGTTATGGCAACTGTTTTGATATGTGTGAAGGTGGCTCCAAAATCTCACTCCACAATCCTATGTGATGCTAGATTGCAGCAGACCGAATAAATGCTGTCCGCCTGTGTTACACTGTGGCCGTAGCGTTACTCATAGAAACTTGTGATGCGCATACGAGGTGAGCGCGGTAATTATATATATTCTATATGTGCCTATGAGTCTTATGCTATTGTGGTATTGCATTAAGTGGTTCTGCACAGTTTGTAGGTTTTTATCTAAAGCTAGTCATACACCTCATTTTTACAGAGGAGTGCTTCACGAACGATAGACGTGTGTAAAAAGTGCTCTCCCGATTTTGTCGAAAATCTAGGTTATTACTTCAGTAAAAAATCTGATTTTTGAAAGAAATCACAATAGTGCTGTGAGGAGTATGTTTGCAGTGAAATATTTGTTGTTGTGCACATATTTTTCATTTGTGGTTAGTTGCAGTAAGTAGGATACATTTCTCTTACAAAAAGTGTACACAGCAACAAAAAGTGCCAGTTACAAAAAATAACCATCAGAATAACTAGCTGGTTTTATAGTCTAGTTATCCAGGATCATATCTCACAAATATATGTTTGCATCAAATTTTCACACTTTTGATTTAATCATCCTACAATTTTAAAAAGAAAACAGCCTCACAATCATAATAACCATCACAAAACAGAATCCTTAATTATAAACAAGGGTGGAGGGCAATGTACCTGAAGCAAACGTAAAACAGAATTTCATGGAGACAGGGGTTACTATAAATGAGATTCATGTTAATAATATGTTAATAAATTAATAGCAAGAATGCCCCATATGGTGAAAATGATGGAGGAAATTAAAAGAGAATTAGCAGAATGTGTTAAAAAAAAGAACATCCGCGCCGGATTCCATTAATAAGCCTAGTCTGCCTACCATAATAATTAGGCCTAAAAGCCAACAAAATATAGGCACGAATAAAGAGGAGGTGCAAAGGTTGATAAAACCATGCGAAATCAATGTTGGAATTAGAAATATTAAGGAAACTAAAAAGGAAATATTGTACTGTGCGACACAGAACAGGAGCTAGAAAGACTCAAAAAATCAGCAGAAAGTAAACTAAAATGAAGTTAATTTACCAAAAAAGATGTTACCGAAAATTAAAATTGTAGGATATGTGGGTAACAAGGAGATAGAGGAGGAGCTTGAAGAAAGTATAAGGAAGCAGAATACATGGATGCAGTTGAATGGACACTTTAAGATACATTATATTAGAAGACATAAAAATAAAGATACCTCCACAATGTATGCGGAATGTTCAGGAAACTTATATTCTAAAATAATGAAAAATGAAAAAATTTACATAGACTGGGAGCGCCTGCCGGTGTATGAGGATCTGACTGTATCTAGGTGTTTCAAGTGTCAGGGTTTTCAACACAAAAGTAACCAGTGTCTTAGAAAGCAAGTCTGTGGAAACTGTGCAGGGAGTCACAATACCACAGAATGTGAAAGTCAGGAGAGGACGTGTGTGAACTGTGACATGGCCAATAAGCTGTATAAAACTAAGTTTGTAACAGATCATAGTGCATTAAGTGCAAACTGTCCTTGTTAAAAATACCAAATTGGAATCTTGAAGTCCAGAACTGACTATAGTAAAAAAGCATAATGGTAAACACATAAATGAGGAAATTCTAGATATAATTAATGAAGACGATGGTTCTTTGAGTGAAATAATGGACAGTGAACAGATAAAAACCTTCTTGTCACAGAATGCACATTCATTGGCTGTAACTGTGATTCATGTTAATATAAGAAGTATCAACAGAAATTTGAATAATTTTCTGGCTTATATAGAGTCATATAAGCTAAATAGCTTTGACATTATTGTTTTCACGGAAACCTTTCAAATTGTGTCTATTAAGAACTGTAATTTACCTGGCTACCAAACTTTTATAATGAAGGTATTTACAATAAAAATGATGGGGTTATTGTTTTTGTTAGGTATGGTATTAGGGCGAATTTCTCCAAGTGCCAATTAAGTATATCAAGGGCTAGTTTAGGTAGACTCAGGTTTGAAAGGGATGGGGTTTTGTATGGTATAACGTGCGTTTGCAGACCACCTCCAATATCAAAGAAAGACTTATTTGCAGCATAATAGTTCTGCTAATATTGAAATATTTCTGGGGGATATTAACATAAATATTCTGGATAATAAGAACACTCTGGTGACAGAGTATCTGTCAATGATGTCTTCTCTTGGCTTTAACGCATTTATCGATAAACCCATTAGACTGTCATCGGGAACTTGCCTGGACCATATATTTGTTAGGCAAAAATTAAAAACCAATTGTTTATTATTAAATTCTTATATACTCAATAAGGAAATAACGGATCACAGTCCAACAGTGCTTTGTATAACTAATAAAGCACGACCTTCTGGAATTTTGGAGGTTGGGCAAGTTGTAACAAGAAACAAACTAAACATAAATAAATTTAAGAAGTTTTTGAATAATTGTGATTGGAATTTGGTAACTAGTGTGAATGATCCAGAAATAGCTGTAAAGTTATTTTTGACTACCTTCAGGGACCTGCTGTTGAAAGCAACAGAAACAATTGCCACATGAGTATCAATTCCAAAAAAAATAAAACCATGGATAATCAATGGAATTATTGTTTGTTTGAAAAAAAGGGATAAAATGAAAAAGAGACTTCTAGCAAATTATAGTTTTTCTTTGGAAAACAATGATTATCATAATAAACTAAATAAATTAATACACAAACAAAAGAATAATTACTATAGAATGCAAATTGAAAAAAATAAAAATAACATGAAAAAATGTATGACGTCATAAAGGATGCAACATATGAAAAGAATTACAAAGGTCAATCTTATATATCTATAAATGATAACGATGGCAACCAGTTTACGGATTCTATTGAAATGGTAAATTTTTGTAATGGATATTTTATTGATGTGGGTGTTAACATGGCGCGGACAATTCCCACTCCTCAATTTGAGTTTAAATTAGCGCACTCCGTTCAGAATTCTATTTTCTTAAGTCCCATTACAAGGAATGAACTAATAAAACATATCGCATCTTTGAAAAGTAATAGTGCTCCTGGCTATGATGGCATACAGGTTGAAACTATAAAGCAAACTCATTTTGAAATTGTAACACCTTTATTACATATTTACAATTTAATTTTGGTAACTGGAATTGTCCCGAAAGAGTTTAAAACATCAATAGTTATCCCGATACATAAATCAGGGGATACTACATCCATTGGAAATTACAGGCCTATAAGTTTAATAACAAATTTTGCAAAGTTATTTGAAAAATGTCTTAAAATTCGATCAATGGATTTTTTTAAAGCTAATAATGTATTATCAGATAATCAATTCGGGTTTCTGGAGGGTTACAGTGCAGTGGATGCTATGCAAATTAATAACTGAGATTGTCAATAATCTGAACAATGGCAACAAGAGTATTGCTGTTTTTTGGACCTTGCTAAGGCTTTCGACACGGTTCCTCACGATAAGCTAAACGAAATTCTTCACAGCAATGGTATAAGGGGAGTGGCTTATGATTTACTGAGGGATTATCGTTCAAACAGACCACAACTGCTAAAATTAAATAACATAACAAGCAATGAAAAATTAATAAAGATAGGTGTCCCGCAGGGTACTGTTTTGGGACCGCTCCTTTTTATAATTTATATAAATAAGATGCTAAAGCTGGACACGGGGGGTTTAACTATTTCTTATACCGATGATACTGTACTTCTTTTTGCAGGTTCTAGTTGGGAGGATGTAAAGTGTAAAACAGTGTATGGTCTAGGTATGGTAAAAGACTGGTTACAAGAGAGTAAACTAACATTGAATTTATCTAAGACAAACTATATTGCGTTTTCGTTGACCAATAAAAACAGACCAAATCACAGCACTATTATGTTGGATGATAATTATTTTGTTAAGGAAGTGTCTCAAACTAAATATCTTGGAATCATTATTGACCAACATTTAAAGTGGCAGCCGCATGTTGATTATGTATCGAGTAGAGTTAGAAAATTAATCCATACATTTTATCTACTGCGTGACTTTATCGATAAAAAAATTTAGTAACAGTTTATAAAGCATTTGTTGAATCTACAATTAGATATGGGATATTAGTATGGGGGGGATTGTATAATAATGCTCTACATAAACTCATTATTATTCAGAAATATATTATTGAAATTATTTTTAAGAAAGATAAAAGATTCCCCACTAATAAACTTTTTACAAAGGGTGTGTGTAATATTAGATCCTTGTACGTGATGACAGTATCTACTTTTATTTATATAAATGAAAAACTACAGAAACAAGTAAGTCATAACTACTGTACTCGTACAAATGTGGGCAGGCAAATAGAAATTCCCAAGAATAACAATAACCTAAACTTAAGATACATAACGTATATAGGACCAAAGATATATAACATTCTGTCGGAACACTTGAAAGAGATGAAAAATATTAAAACATTTAGCACCAGCTGCAGAGAATATATTTTTGAGAATACTGCACAATTTGAATGGTTTTTCTAATGATTTTTTGTACCATAGTATGATTGAATTATTGTTCGGGATATTGAGGTTGATTATTGTTTTTTTTATTGTATTTTATAATCCAATAAATACCATTTTCTTTTCATTTGTAAGTCCGGATGATGAAAGCACATACAGGTGGTTTGAACCATCTAGTTGTATCTTTCTGTCATCAGGATGTCCTTGATGGAGAGGAATTATATTGTTGTGTTATATATTTATGTGTATTTATAATTTTTGTATATGGTCTTTGTTGGATGTTATTGTTATTAAATAAATAAATAAATTTACAAAAGACCAGCGCCAAAATACCTCAACTCATAAGGCTGTGTAAGACTGTTTGTACCTACTTTTTGATAACTGACTATAATAGCTCTTGTTGTGTACTTTAAACTATGAAAAGCACATCGATGCACTTCCGCAACTTTTCGCGAACAAAATTTTTCCTAAATTTTAGGGAGTATCTGGCACCGTACACGACAGGCCTGTTTGTTATCAGTCCACGTGTACGACTAACTTTAAATACGAACCTACAAACTCTGTGGAACCACTTAATGCAATACCGCAATAGCATAAGACTCATATGCACAGATAGCATATATATAATTACAGCGCTCACCGCTCAGCTCGTATGCGCGTCACGGGCTTCTATTAGTAACGCTACGGCCACGGCGTATCGCAGGCGGACAGCTGACAGCATTTATTCGGTCCGCTGTAATTTAGCGGCGCGTAGGATTATGGAGCCAGTTTGTGGAGCTACCTGCACAAGCATACTGTGTTGGCTTACTTTAAAATTCAGATCCCAAATCCTCCCTTGAATGTTCCTGAATGAAGTGATATTGTTTGTCTTAAATCCAATGAAAGGTTGTTCCTAAACAGCAACTCAATTCTTGAGGCACATGTATTGATATGACTCTAGATCAAATGTTGCTAATATATTTCTCCAGATATCATCATCGGGCAACACTAGTAGGAGTTCTGTGGCTCCTAGTATGAAAAGAGGTCAAATTGGCGATAGGACTGGAAGCTCAAAAATCACATTCATAAATGAAAGGAAGCTTAGAGAAACTACTTCTAAGCCAAATAGTGTAAGGCCTAGAAATGTACATAAAGGTAATTAATATACTTTAGCACTCAGTTTAATCTACAATCTATAGTTTTCAAAATCGTATTGTTTTGTGCTTAAATCACCCAATTAAAATATATATATATATATATACAGGGTGGCCCATCCATGTGTGGACGGAATATTACTCATAAACAAATACATTTTGCAAACATCTATTTATGGGATGTTATACATGACATTTGAGGGTACATTTCTAAAATATTAGAGATTTTTTCGCGAGATCCCGTAGTGAACCGGAGCGGGAACATATGGAATTTCCCCTTCCTCTTGAAGTTTTTTGACAGTTTCAAGTTATACCGGGAGTGGTTAGATGGCGCATGTTGCGCAAAATGTTTGCTTTAAGCACCTTGATAAACTTAGCTGCCTTTTTGTGTAATGTACAAATATATATATACAGGGTTATCCAAATTAAGTGTCCACCATTAGTAACTTTGTTATTAGTGAAAATACAAAGTTGTTTGAATTAGCAAACTAGTAGCATTTTTAACGCTGGTAAAAATGAGAAATAAAAAAAAACAATTGAGAGTCGTTATTTTGATTTTTTTCAGTAAAATAACATTTTTTTAAATGGAAACCCCTGTATATTATATTTTTTTCTGTTAAAGCATCAAATTTTAAACAAAAAAGTTCATAATGACTTTTCCGCTAAAGTCAAAAATAAAGTCAAAATAACGATAAATATTTTTAATTATTTGCAGTATTATAATATTAAGACGGCTATGAAAACAACATGGCGTTCGCGATTTGATAAGCGACAAATTGTTAAACTGGACATACTCGCAACTAGAAGGCTTTGGAAAACAATGATAAAATCAAATAATGTCAAACATTAGTGTAAATACTTGTTTATAAGCTTTATTGTGTCGTTAATTTAAAGAAAAATGTTCTCCCATGAAGAAAAGTGTGATATGTTAGAATGCTATTTAGTGTGCAGAAAATCCTCCTTGAGAGCAAGAGAATACTACAGTGAATTATATCCCGCTCGCATTCAACCGTATGAACGATATTTTCTGAGACTTTATCGAACATTTAGGGGCAACGAAAATGTTTTTGCTAAAACAAGGGCAAAAAAAGAATTCATAATAAGCGAGGCCACGGAAATTGCAGTTATTGGATATTTTGAAGCTTATCGTGAGAATTCAATAGCAGATATTCTCAAGGACTCTAATTTCAGTTATGGTACTGTTCAAAGGATTTTAAAAAAATACAAATTTATTCCGTATAAGTACCGACCAGTTCAAACGCTTTTGGCAGGGGATCCAGAGAGAAGACTTGTTTTTTGCCATTGGTATCTTAGCTTCTGTCGCCAAAATGTAAATAACTTTCGTTACCTTTTATGGACAGATGAATCAAATTTTTCAAATTCTGGAATGTTTAATAGAAAAAACCACCATTATTGGTCAAGAGAAAATCTTTTGTTAGTACATCCAAGAGGCCCACAAGTCCGTTTCAGTTTCAACGTTTGGTGCGGTATAATTGGTTCAAAAATTGTTGGCCCGTTCTTTTATGAGGGAACCCTAACTGGTGAAAGATATGTGGAATTTATGTCAGAAATTCTGACTAATTTCTTAGACGAATTGGATCTTATAAGTAGACATCATCTGCATTTTCAGCAAGATGGCGCACCTGCCCACAACTCCAGAGGTACTTATCATTTTCTAAGTACTACTTTTAATGATCAGTGGATAGGAACAAATGGCCCAATACAGTGGCCTCCCAGATCACCAGATCTAAACCCACTTGATTACTTCTTGTGGGGTTACTTAAAGAACCAAATTTACAAGCGAAGGTACGATAACCTTGACGCGTTAAAGACTGCAGTTAGGGAAAAGATAACCCAGATAGATGGTAGGACCATACTTAAGACAGTTCGAGCAGTTGAAAAACGTGCCCAAAAATGTATTGAAGAACAAGGTGGTGTTTTCGAGCATCTTCTTTAAAAAAAATTGTTATTGTATTTTGTAAGATTATAAGTTGATGTTGAAAATAAAGTTTGTCGATACAATTTAATTGTTTCAGATTGGAGGCCATAACTTCAACAATTTGTAACCTAGGAGAAAAGTTATTGTAAGCTTTTTTGTTTAAAATTTGATGCTTTAACAGAAAAAAATATAATATACAGGGGTTTCCATTTAAAAAAATGTTATTTTACTGAAAAAAATCAAAATAACGACTCTCGATTGTTTTTTTTTTATTTCTCATTTTTACCAGCGTTAAAAATGCTACTAGTTTGCTAATTCAAACAACTTTGTATTTTCACTAATAACAAAGTTACTAATGGTGGACACTTAATTTGGATAACCCTGTATATATATATATATATATATATATATATATATATATATGTGTGTATATATATATGTATATATATATAATCAATGAAATCAATCATTTGATATGACAAGTGCGGTTCATATAATCTTCGATGACCTTCTCCCTCGTCATTTGAAATCACGTGGACGTGTTCCTCCATTTATGATTTAATAATTTAACTCAATTTTAAGCACTGTGAAGACAAATTTTCAATTGAGATGCCTGTTTTTTAAATGACATTGACATAAGACCTGTCACCCGCTAGTTCCTCACAGACGTTAGGCGGATACCCGTACCACGTGATTTTTTGACATTCGGACGACGTCACATCCGTCTTCCCCTATTCCCGTTCTTCGTGAAAATGTAAGCATCGGTTCCCGATAGTGCACTGTGCTATACCGTGGTCTCGCGAAAAAATCCTTATTGTCAATTATACAGGGTGTCCCAATTTTGACCTGCATATCAAAGTTGTGATTTTTTAAATAGAATGCCTCAAATTTTAAGGCATATTTGGATAAACCAATTCAAAAGATGAAGATTGATATAACATACTATTTTGGTTTTTAGCTACTGAGATGTAAGGTGTTTTGTCCACAAAAACCGTCCATTTCGGCAACCCCTGAATCCGCCATTTTGTAATTTGGAGTGCTGAATTTTGTATCAAAAAAACTTACACACATTATCTTTTATCTTGTTTGTTACTTTTTCGAATTTCCATTTTTGCTCATACAGGGTCAAAAACACGAATTGTACTTTTTCCCAAAAATTTCAAATGCATCACCCTGTATATTTGTGCAAGTTTGGATTCAATTTTTTATAAGCTTTTTTTGTATAAGGTTTAATTCAGACAAAATCACTAGATTTTGAGTTATTAAGCTTTTAATAGAACACACCAAAATTAAGGAAACAAATCACATCATTCATGGAAACAAAAGACAAACAGTGGGCTAGTTCCATAATGCCACTAGTACAGATTTGACGTAAAAACTAATAACAATCAGAACAGTATAAATCAGCTTCAAGCTTAATAGAGAAAAACAACTATAACAACAACATAAACAAACAACTATCACTACTCAAGACCTAATCTGCAAAAACTCCTCGAAAATATCTCCACCATGTTGAATGCACAGCCGTAGTCTTTTTATAAATGACTGTTGCACATCCCTCAGCATGTGTTGCCTTATGTTCAGAAAAGCATCCTTAATCCTTTCCTTCACACTTTCCGGGGCAGATGGTGGATATCTATAAACCTCTTGCTTAACGTAGCCCCATAGAAAGAAGTCCATCGGTGTCATATCTGGTGATTAGGAGGCCAAGATATAGGCCCATCACGACCGTTACAACGATTGTTACTCCAGGTGTAACAAATAGTTACGCACACGATTATGATAATGCGCAGGTGCGCCGTCATGTTGGAAGTACATACGCATCCGAGTTTGCAGGTGGACATCCTCCGAAAGCAAAGACAAATGCTCGATCAAAAAATTCAAGTATTCGGTACCTGAAAATCTGTTGTCGAAAAACAAAGGCCCGATAACTTGTCTGCCAATAACTCCTCCCCAAACATTCAAGCTCCATTTATTTTGGAAATCTATTTGCCTAACCTAGTAAGGGTTTTCCGTCGCATACCTCCACCTGATTCGCCTCATTGGTGGTAAAACGTTCTCTTGGAAAATGTTTCCGGCCTTGGATGTCGCATATTAGGGTACCGTTGCTTATAAATGCGAGATGCTACGATACTATTACTTTGGGCTTCGCCCAAAACGAGCACCATATTCACCATTTCTTCTTTATAAAAACTCATTTCCAAACACGTTTTTATTATAAAGCTCACAAAACTAATTTTGACACTTTGTAACTAATCAACAATTTATTTGTTTCCAATGATGAAGCGATATTTTAGGGAACTAAACCGTTCCATAAAAGACTTGCTAATAACCGAAAAAATAGCCGTAAAAAGCTTATAAAAAATTGAGTCCAAACTTGTACAAATATACAGGGTGGTGCATTTAAATTTTTTGAGAAAAACTACAATTTGCGTTTTTGACCACCCTGTATGAGCAAAAATTAAAATTCGAAAAAGTAACAAATAAGATAAAAGAGAGAAGAGGTGTGTAAGTTTTTTCTAATACAAAATTCAACACTACAGATTCTAAAATGGCGGACTGAGGGGTTGCCGAAGCAGGGGTTTTTTCTAGACAAAACACCTTATATCTCAGTAGCTAATTACCAAAACCCCATAGCATGTTATCTCAATTTTTTTTTCTTTTGAATTGGTTTATCCAATCATGCAATAAAATTTGAGGCATTTGAAAAATCACAACTTTGATATGTAAGTCGAAATTGGGACACCCTATATAATGGTCAATATTTTAGAAATGTGTCCTCAAATGTCATGTATAACATCCCATAAATATATTTTCCCAAAATGTATTTGTTTATGAGTAATATTCCATCCACACATGGATTGGCCACCATATATATATAACAAAAATAGGAAAATAGTGGGCAAAATCCGCAAAAAGTGGATTCGAGCAGAAAATATGATAGGTAACCCGAGCGATACGTATTTCTGCTGGTTGGCTTCATCAGGCCCGAAATGAATGCACATATGCAACTACAAAAATAGATACACATGCCCACACATCCGGATACGGGTGTAACCTGA